TATTTAAGTATTAGGAAACACAAAAACTCATAAGAAGTTGTGTGGATACACTATAACCAGAATTTGACCGTGGATGAAATTCTACGGTAATTTACTGAATAAAAAGTGGTAAATTACTTGAATGTATATTTAAACAATCCTGAAATGGTTTGTCATCATATACAGGGAGTCTAGCTTCTACATGAGGGTCAATTAATACCATCGATCTCTATTATTACAACTGGATCGCGCGCTGTACTGCTCAGAGATACACACGTATCGGTCCGCCGCTCCCCCCACCACGTAAGGTTGTTACTGTCTCTCTCTTACTCATTAAGTCTTATGGCATTTCCGCGTTTGCGCTCACAAAATACGCTATATCTCTGTTCATAGTGGCTCGGTTGTCAATTTGTTTACACAGTTGTAATCTGCATTAAATTGCGGAGATAATGGTATATGTTTTATATTAAAAAAACTCTTTTTTAGATTATATTAATTTTTAAATCTACTAAATACGGTTTGTTATTGCCACTTTTAAAATTAATTATAAAACTGTTATCAATGCTAATGATTAATTAACTTAATTTAGCATACGCACTCAAGTTTTTAAAGTTTAATCTTATGTTTTTTATGCATTTAACGTGCAGGAGTTGACCCATGCTGATCCGCAGCTTTAAAATAAATATATTATCCAAGAAAATCAAATTTATAATTTTTGATTGAGTAATACAGTATCTTGAGCTTAACTGATTCAAACCAGCAATAAATCAAATTAAAGCCTGTACGTTACTGACTATTTTGAGTCCAAAACATAAAAAAGTCATGAACAATACTGGAGCTATTGATTTTTAATCATAGAAATGTAGCGTGTCACCGTCCCTAAATCAAGTGTCATATTTAGTTGTTTTTTTGCTTTTGTATTTAGGTCAAGTTGTAACAGTTTCCTTAGTTCTTTTCGGCTTTTTATGCTTATCTGATTTCAATGCAAGTGTAAGAACAAAGAGACGCGTTGAAGTTACTATGATCCCGTATTGGAATAGGGAGGGGGCACACGGGCAATGTTATCTAGGTATTAATCGCACTTCACCCGTTGTACCAATATTAAAACAAGAAATGTGCCTGGCTTAATATTTTTTTTGTAAATTATTATTATTAAGCCTCCTTAAAATAGGGGTCTGAGGCTATCTTATTTACTAAACGCATACTACTTTGTACTTATAAACAAATCACTTTAAACCCGATTAAATTTGATTTAATTACAAAAGCATCAGATATTAGAGAAGTTGTCATAATTTTGTTATAGTTTTTAAGTTTTAAAAATTATACAATTAATTTCCACAATTAATTGTAAGCCTAGGAACATATTTAGGGTTATTTTAGGACATAAGGAAATTTGGTCTTCAGCAAAAGTTGCACAAATTAATACTGTTCAAAAACACATAGGAAATTGTAAATTGTAAGGCCGGCCGCACACCTGATACAGCACGGCGCGGCAAGGCGAGGCGAGACGTGTTTGCCTTGCCTTGCCGTGCCCGATGGAGATTTGAGATGCATACGGCACGGCACGGCAAGGTGACTTGAGCACCCACATGGTCGATCCCATGGTTTCAGTAAAGTGAGATACTGTGTGTTATGAGGTTGTTTGTACATTTTGTGACACTTTGTACGACACATTTTGTGAGAATGGATGCAGAAGGCGAAGAAGAGGCTGCTGCCATCGCTGCTAAATGGTACCATTGACTGTTGTGTTTATATAGTCAATGATGGTACCTAATGAATGTAATGGATGATCTCCCTAACAGAGAATCGTGGGTGCATCCCATCAACCAAAAAAGGAACTTGAAACCATTCATTGCATAACTAAGAGCAGATCCGGAAAAAATCATAATTACTAATCGTTGGAAGTGCACACTGATTTTGACAGGGGCTGTCACTGCGCTGAACGTGGTGTCGATCCTCGCGCATGCGCACATTGTTTTGCCTCAAGCCTTTTGCCCGAAAGACGAAAATTGAAAAGGCAGAACAAAGCGCTGTACGGCGCTGTTTTGCCTTGCCTTGCCGTGCCCGATGATGTGTGCGGCACCCCCATTTGAAATAATAGAAATCTAGTCGCATAAGGCGCCTTAAGGCAAAACGTCGCACCGTGCCGTGCCGTGCATCAGGTGTGCGCCCGGCCTAAAATTGTAGATGTCTTTACAATTGTATTGTATTGAAATATTATTGTCATACACAAATGGTTTGTTTCGTAAATAACATGTTTTTCTCATAACCTATTCTAAACCTTTTGGGGCCCGTTTCATTTGGCACTCCAATTGAACAAATATATGACGTTGGTTAAGTTAGCTGCATGAAGCATAATTTATTACTAATATGAAAAATCTTATAATATAAGATTTTTCAATAATATTTTTATAATATAAGATTATAATATAAGTTTTTTTTTAAACCTAATTTGTTTAATATATTATATTAAACAAATTAGGTTTTTCTTTTCCAAGTTCATTTGGCATTTTACCCAACCGATTTCAATGATTGAGGTCTAAAATTAAAGGTATGCACGTAGAGATTTGCCATAAAGTAACGACATATATGTATCTAGTGTTTTTTTTGTTTTTTATTTTTTTTACAAAAAAAAAATAGTTTCACTCATTTTTGAATTCTCACTTCAGTTTAAGATGTATTGTGAATCTATAATTATAATCCTATATTTTGGTTTAAGAACCTTCTGTGAAATACCGGCTTTCACATAAGCTATTAGTTATTCAAATCGGACGAGTTTCAAGCAAATGCAAGGTGAAGAACCAACATAAAAACTATTTTCATGAGGTTTTTCTGTCCCGGTCGTGAGAAAAGTCAAGGGTCTTCAAGAGGTATCGCAGCCACCACTACTCTAATTAATAGAGAGTAGGCCCTAATGAGATTGGGAAGATAAAATAATAATAATAATTTTGATGCTGAATACTTAAGGTTTATTTGAACTATTAGATGCGAATGTGTGATTATTAATTCATTATGAGCAAGAGCAATGATGTCGACAGTACGATGGGTGAAGTGCGATTAATACCTAGATGACATTGCCCGTGTGCAGCCAATACAGTATTGGTCCCCTATTCCAATACGGGATCATAGTAACTTCAATGCGTCTCTTTGTTCTTACACTTGCATTGAAATCACGTGATTCGCCGTCAGATAAGCCTAAAAAGCCGAAAAGAACTAAGGAAACTGTTACAACTTGACCTAAATACAAAAGAAAAAAAAAACTAAATATTAAACTTGATTTAGGGTCGGCGACACGCTACATTTCTATGATTAAAAATCAATAGCTCCAGTATTGTTCATGATTTTTTTATGTTTTGGACTCAAAATAATCAGTAACGTACAGGCTTTAATTTGATTTATTGCTGGTTTGAATCAGTTAAGCTCAAGATACTGTATTACTCAATCAAAAATTATAAATTTGATTTTCTTGGATAATATATTTATTTTAAGCTGCGGATCAGCATGGGTCAACTCCTGCACGTTAAATGCATAAAAAACATAAGATTAAACTTTAAAAACATGAGTGCGTATGCTAAATTAAGTTAATTAATCATTAGCATTGATAACAGTTCTATAATTAATTTTAAAAGTGGCAATAACAAAACGTATTTAGTAGATTTAAAAATTAATATAATCTAAAAAATACCCCCGCCGCAGCAAACCTGCAGACTAAGCGAATTTCCATTTCCCTGATTGGATTTACACTAAAATGTCTCCTTATAAAATATCACATTTATTCCCTATTTAAAAAGAATCAGTTTAAAACATACTTAGGTTTGCTGCAACAGGGAGGGTAAAAGTGTTTTTCATGTAAAATGTTAATAGTTGGTAAGAAATAAAAACATTTTCCAAATTTGGGCAAAATATGTTAATAAACAAGCAAACTACAACAGTTTACTTATTCTCCATAAGAATAACATGGAAATTTTAAATTTACAATTTTTTGGAATTTTCTCCGTAACTATTAGGCGCATTATAACGCTTCAATATACTAAATTATTTGTTTTTTTAAGCTCTACAAAATAGTTTAGAAAGAAATTGCAAAATTTTATGTTTTTTGGGTCAAAAATGGGAAAACCCCATTTTTACCCCATAAAAGCCCCCATAAACCCCCGTTCCCATGGTCCGATCATGCTGGTTCGCGAACTCGTTCGAATTAACGTAGGTTTACACGTTTGTACCAAATTTCATCAAAATCTGATCATTTTTGCTCGAGTTATCGCGCTAACGGACACATATATATATGAGTAATGTAATGAGTAAGAGAGAGACAGTAACAACCTTACGTGGTGGGGGGAGCGGCGAGCGGTTGGACCGAAAACCCAGCACACAGCGCGCGATCCAGCTGTAGTAATAATAGAGATCGATGATTAATACTAGGCCTATATTGTTCCTGATCATTGCGCTTTAAAAAAATTACACTAACTAATCGAAACAGCTGATCTTAGTCAGTAACAAAGCCACACAGATCATCTCACTCCATTCTACACCTAACCTTCACTCATATTTGGGTTAAAATACCCACCTAGGTTGTGTTCCGATCTCAATTGATATGATAATGAAAAGGATGGGGCATAATACAATTTCAAAATGTTATGTAATATGCAGTTCTTCACTGGTGCAATGATTTATGTGCATTACATCCAATTTTGTCAGCACTTTGTTTAAACATAATACATTAGGACTTACAGGAGAATATGGACAAGACGTTTAAACTATTCTTTACACTGTAGCTTTATAGTCTATTTTCTCATGTCGGACATCATTGGAACCTTAAGCTTAAACGGTCATCCACTGGTGCTCTCAACCTAGAAACTATAATAATTCTAAGCTGATGTAGGGTTGGCTGATGAGGGTTTTGAGGATGGGTGGGGATTTAATCAAGCTTTGTGGGAATGAATCAACCTTTTATAAGCTAATAGCCTTGAAATAGAGTAAGATCCCAAATAGCATGCACCAATACCTCCATGACTATAACAGACCAAATCTCTTGCGTGGGTCACTAATGGGAGAGATATATTCTCCATCATCTTTCACTGAACCGATCCTGCTGAGAAGGTTCTCCTTTGGTATCCGATAGTGATGAAACATGCAGAAGCTGCAAAGTAACAAATTACAGGTCAAGTGTATGATTGTACAGTGTTATCAAGTGAAAATATTAATTACATTACAGAAACAGCACCGAGTGATTCAGTATAAATAGAAACAGAGTTAAGAGACAATTTTACAAGGGAGCTCCCTTTAAAATATTTGTCAAATAAATTGCAATGAATTTGATCAAGCAGAATATTAGATGAAGTCAAAATGTTTCTATTAAATACAATTATTAACAAGGGCTGCATTAAACTCAGTTTAATCACTTCATAATGTAAACATAGAACTAAACAAAAACATTGAATTAAACAAACATAATAACAATTAATATCTGTGAATCCTAATAACATATGTAACAGTGGTCCCCCCTTAAAGTTTTGTGCGCAGCACCTGGTCAACGTGCGGTCTCCAAATTTGACCAACATCCATTCTAACGTAGTAATGAAGATTACCATCTTTAATTTTAACTGTTCCCAAGGCCCACTTGTCTCGTTCTGAATAATTTCTGATTTGTACGCGGTACTCAGGATTGAATCTTCTCATCATGCCTTTTGGACTGGTAGGTTTGTGTTTTCCCAGAGGCTTTAGTAGACTTAGATAAGTGCGGATCTTCCTATTAAACATGAGAAAGTAAGAAAATGTCTCTGTTGAATCAGGAGCTTGGCAGATCTGCATCAGAAATCTATGTATTTTTTCATCGAGGGTCATTTTCCATACATTAAAGTGATTTTTTTACAGTCTGAACAAAACGTTCAGCCTGCCCATTAGATGAAGGGTGATATGGTGCAGTTGTTTATGTGTGATTCCACACTATTCAAGGAAACTAGTAAATTCTAAGGAAGTAAACTGTCGTCCATTGTCTGGCACAAGAAGATCTGGTAATCCAAAAGTAGAAAACATTTTTCGCAACTCCTTGCCTGTCCAAGTAGCTGTAGTACATTTCGTAGGTAATACTTCTACTCATTTGGTAAATGCGTCAATGACTATGTAATGGTCAAATTTTGTTAGGGGTAATTTTTATTTTATACACGAACGATTCGAGCGTGGCGATTACACCACGACGGTAACAATGACTTGGTCAGCGTCTTACCTAGTTCGAGACTCGGCCGCTGCCACCTTGAAGCGCTGCCGTAGCCGTGGTGGGGAGGAGCCGAGGTCCGGAGACAGGGTAGAGGTTTTAAGATAGTCGATGGCGAGCGCTTGTTCGCCAAACACCCTTCGAGCAGGCAGTCGGCGGCGAGCGTTAGGTTCGCGCACACCAACCTTCCTTAGGCTGTGCGAGCGAACAAAGTATCCGGACGAAGGCGTGCGAAACATAAGTATATACGTAAGTAAGTACACTGTTTATAACTATCGTATACGTTATACCTCTACTCGTATCCCCTTTAGTGAGGGAAATTACGATATTTATTAGGCTATTCTAGGCCGTTTATCGTAGTTTATAGAAAATCGTAATTAAACGACCGACGCTGCGAGTGTAGTGTCGTAGTCACCTACGCCTACTTTTAGTTATCCAAAGTGTTTTGTTTAATCTTAATCAAGAGTTATTTATTTATTTTCCTTAAAGCCAAGAAGAATTGGCATAGGCGCCTTCTACGTTTGATTTTATTTCATTATTTACTTATCGCGAGTTAGCGTCGTTTTCTTTTAATTCCGAGAAGATTATTTTTAGTTTTATTTTCAGAAGTGAGACCTTTCGTTAAGCCTAGGAGCTGGCTCTTTATTATATCTCCTAATCATCGCCTATTTATCTATCGGACCCTAGTAGTTAGCTGCGACTTGGTTTTGTCAGTGCGTCGCTGTGCTGATACCAAGTTAAAGTGGTAACTATAGTTGGTGTATTCATTGATAGTAATTCGTGTTCGGTGCGTCGACGTGCCGATGTACACAGTGTGTACTTGTGTACTAGTAGATCGACGCAACAGTAAATCTACGAGGACCGAGGAGCAGTGAGCGAGTGACGAAGACTGTTAGCGAAACCCTGGACTACTCGAGCTGTCCGAGCAAATCGGAGGTAAGTTTACGATAGGTGCCCTACCCGACATAAACACCTCACAAAGTGGCGCCCGAACAGGGACATTGAATTTCCGTTATTATCGTAATATTCGAACATACTTCAAGTATTGGCGCCCGAACGGTAGAATCGATATCGTAGTGGTTTTTTTCTTTGGAATATAAGAATAAGCGAAAATGGTAGGATCGAGTGTTAGCGTGAAAACTATGCCTAAAACGGTCAGAGTGGTGACTGAATCGACCTCGACAACGACTGCCGGGTCTTTACAAGCTCAAGTAGCGCAAACTATTTCACAACCAACTGTGCCATCGACTTTAAGTTTTCCCGCTACGACCGCAGAGGCTACTCAGCCTCAAGTAGGTACAACTACGTCACAGTTAATGGTACCAACGACTTATTTACTTACTACGACTGATCGTACGTTGACGTCTAAGAGTCCCTCAGAGGATGACCCGCGAATTGGGTGGATTCACACGTTAACCAAGGATGAACTTCGTTACGAAATGAGTCGATACGGTTTGCCTAATATGGGGACAGTTGAGGAACTTCGAAAATCTTTTTGTAAATTTTGGAAACATAGCATTCCCCGAGCAGTGTACGGTAAGGACGTGAATGTTAGCATGGACGGTGCGTCTGCACTTCCACTCGGCTACGACACGGGATATGTCGACTCGCGACCAGGTGACAGTGACATACGAAGTGCGGAACTGGACAGAGTACGGGAGATAGTTGGTTTGCCTCCAGGAACCAACTTTGAGGGATGCATTGCACGACGTCCAAGTGCCACGACGTCCAATAATATTTATTCAGTGCCACGACGTCCAAAACATAATTTTTGAGTTGTTGCACGACGTCCAAGTGCCACGACGTCCAAAAGTACAGTAACTGCCAAAAATATAGTCTTTCTACAAGCTTTGGACGTCGTGGCACTTGGACGTCGTGAAACAGCGCACTATAGAATTGTAAAAAGGTAACATTTGCACGACATCCAAAGTCACTGCCAGTTGCACGACGTCCAAGTGCCACGACGTCCAATAAATATTTGACTGTTGCACGACGTCCAATATAGCACAGCGCTGTTGCATGACGTCCAAGCTCCTTAGTGAAGACCGGTTACGATGACCGGCTACTTGCCGAACAGTGTTCTTTCGTGTAAAATGCTTATGGAACGTATATTAGTTATATATACATGGGTATATGTTCTTGTTCAGAAATATATATACTACGAATATTTGTACCATTAATTGGAGCATCATAAAGTAAAAAAAAAAACATAATAAGAAAAAATAAACAAGGCAACCGTTGGAAAACTATAAGGTTTACATGGTTTTAAAAATGATGACATTTTGTTAATAACCGATAAACTTCATTATGTTTGAAGTAAGCTTTTAAATACTTATTTCCTCAAGACTAGATGAATGTACATTGATCAACATGATCTTTGAAAACTATTTTTATACCCCCATTTCAATTTTTACTAGTATAAAGAATAGAATGACTTTTTCGAACTGTTTTTAGGCTTCAATTAAATGTCTTATGTCACAAATCTAATATATAAAATTCTCGTGTCACAGCGTTTGTCTGCAAACTCTTCCGGAACGACTTCACCGATCGTTATGAAATTTGGTGTGTAAATTCTGTAGGTATGCGAATCGGACGTAAACTATTTCCCGTTTCGAAATTATTAAAAGGGCTCCGCCCCAGTGGCTCTGCAGTTTCCCATGTTAACCTTATGAGAAATGGAATTAATGAATCTTAACAGCTGTTTCAATTAAACAAGTTGGTTCTGTTCTATGATGTTCAATAGCATTAAAGTTACAAGGATTACCAACAGGGTGCAGCACTATTATTTCTTTTACATTTATGACAACAGCTAATTTGCAACCAAAAGGTGAGTGAGCGTAGCGAACGAACTTCAACCTGGAGGCGAGTTAGCGTAGCGAACGAGCTAACCTGAAGGCAAGTGAGCGCAGCGAACGAGCTCCAACCTAAAGGTGAGTGAGCGTAGCGAACGAGCTCCAACCCAAAGGTGAGTGAGCGTAGCGAACGAACTTCAACCTGGAGGCGAGTTAGCGTAGCGAACGAGCTAACCTGAAGGCAAGTGAGCGCAGCGAACGAGCTCCAACCCAAAGGTGAGTGAGCGTAGCGAACGAACTTCAACCAGGACGTGATTGAGCGATGCGAACGAGATCATCTTGAAAATTAAACGTAACGGTACTTTCTTTCCATCGGTCTGTCTTAGGCTGGGGCTCCACTTGCCGTAAATCGTCGCGCTGCAAATTGTAGCGCGCTACACGCGACAGTTGGTGGCTCCACTAGCAGCAGAGTACGAACTACAATCTGCAGCGTCCTCACATGCACCGTGGCTCCACTAGCAGTTTAGTGTAGCGCGGAGGTAAATTTGACCCTGGATCATGCCGCAAATTAACATTCGTAGTCTTGTTGTTATCAGTGTACTTTTATCAAGACGACGCCGATCACAGCATCCGAAAATGTTGGATCCATCCAATTTTAAGCAATAGAAAGTCCGAAGGGATGTTCTACTTATTGCAAACTAAACTACAAAAGTATTCAGACAGTATCAACACGTTTGAAGAAGAAGAATACCAAAGTAAGAGAAGCAATTGGAGTAGGGGAACGGCTTTCAGTGACATTAATGCAATTTTAGTGTACTGAATTTTAACTAATTAATTTTATACAGTGAACCCTCGCTTCATCAATCCTGGGTGTGTCGAATTACCTACTCTTACTTTAATGGTCATTTTATCTCTATTTCTATTCTATTTCCATTTTTTATTTTTTATTGCACTCATTTACCCTCAGAAGTAATATGTCTAACCAAAGTAGGCCTACGCTGAATATCAATGAGTTTCTTGAGTTTTTGTTGTACATATTAATAATAATCTAAAACAACCATTAGGAACTTTTTATTATAGGGCTAATCATAACAATTTGACGACTGCTGCATTTAAAAACAAATTGAATGTGTT